CATAGCCGCTCAGCGCGACTACGAGCTTCACTCTCTCGACTTCAGCACTGCGTTCTTGCAGGGTAGCCTGCACGAGGAGATCTGGCTTCGCCGTCCACCTGGCTTCACTGGGACTTTCCCTCCTGGCACCCAGTGGAGCCTCCGACGGCCAGTCTACGGTCTCCGCCAGGCACCGCGTGAGTGGCACGACACACTGAGGACTACGCTTGCGGCTCTTGGGTTTGCTCCTTCTACTGCTGACCCGTCGCTGTTTCTTCGCACCGACACTTCCGTGCCGCCGTTCTACATCCTCGTGTACGTCGACGACTTGGTCTTTGCCACAGCGGACACTGCTGGACTCGCCTACGTGAAGTCCGAACTGCTGAAGAGACACACGTGCACAGACTTGGGTGAACTGCGCAGCTACCTTGGCTTGCAGATCACTCGGGACAGAGCACGCCGCACCATTACCTTGACTCAGTCACACATGGTGCAGCAGGTCCTTCAGCGCTTCGGCTTCACGTACTCCTCGCCTCAGGCCACTCCTCTGCCTACTCGCCACTCACTCTCAGCTCTGCCTTCGGATGAGTCCGTAGAGTCGAGTGGTCCGTATGCAGAGCTTGTTGGCTGCCTCATGTACCTGATGACCTGCACACGACCTGACCTTGCATACCCTCTGAGCATTCTTGCACGCTATGTTGCTCCTGGGAGACACAGACCGGAGCACATGGCTGCAGCGAAGAGGGTATTGCGCTACCTGTGGAGTACGTCGGGCATGGGGCTAGTGCTTGGAGGGCGGAGTCTAGTGGTCCTTACCGGCCACGCGGACGCTTCTTGGGCTGACGACCAGGCTACGCAGCGGTCGTCACAGGGTTACACCTTCAGCCTTGGTTCCGGCTCTGTCTCGTGGCGGTCTACTCGCTCGTCTTCAGTTCTCGGCTCCAGTTGTGAGGCTGAGATCTACGCCGGGGCCATGGCTGCACAGGAGCTTCGCTGGCTCACCTACCTGCTGACTGACCTTGGAGAGCCGCCTCGTTCTCCTCCCGTGCTGTACGTAGACAACAAGGCCATGCTGGCCTTGTGTAGAGAGCAGCGCTTGGAGCACAGAACGAAGCACATTGCTCTCCGCTACTTCCTTGCTCGTGAGCTGCAGCAGCGTGGTCAGTTGCGACTTGCGTACGTGGCCTCTGAGGCCAACACTGCTGATGTGTTCACCAAGGCACTCGCGCCTTGTGACCATCAGCGCTTTTGCACCCAGCTGGGTCTTGTACCCGTCTTGCCTCACTTGCTCTCCTCTTGACTTCACTTGTACTGTGACATATATATATATATACCTGCTCTTGCTTGTCTAGTTTTATATATATGTCTGTACTCCTGCATGTGAACTGGCCTCTGGCCCTGCTCTTGTGCTCGGACTGTGTGGTGACGTTGTGATCCACCCTGAGCTTGCTTTGCTTTGCTTTGCTTGACTGGTCTTGTGACCCCTTGTTCTCCCCCACTTTGCCTATGGGGGTGTGTCAGAGTATTATGACTGATGCATGATCGTAGGCTATAGTGGGGTAGCACATATGGGGTACAGCTTTTCTAGGGTTGTATTTGTACCCAACTCTGACTTAGTCATTTCATTCCTGTTTTCCTTGCTTCACACTACTCTCCCTCTTCCCTTCCCTTTGTCGTGCCCCACCCCCAACCTATCTTGGTTCTTCTAAAATTAAACCAGGCCCTGTTTGTTATTCATCGAGATTAAATGCTCCATTTCCCCGTTGTTCCTCTCTCCCGTACACCCCACTCCTTGCCACCTTCTGCCCTGCACCACACCGACCCGCCAGGATCTTTTCACCAACCACCTTCCAGCCTCTCAAATCACATCCAACCCATGTTACGGTGGCGATGACCCTCGTGCCCCCCTTGTGTCATCACTTCAAGAACACACGCTATCAGGTTTTCACTTCCCTTTCACAAATGCCCAAAGTACGGTACCTGGGTGTGAATTTACCCTGTAAAGGGTCCCGAGCATGCTGACTAATCGGCTATCCTTTTAGCGCCAACGCTTTGAAGTTTCCTTCCACTATTTATTTTAGTTTCTATGTAGCCAATATGACACGCAAATTTCAGGGGTTGGAGTTGCAAAAAAACAGTACAACTACACTTCGTGCTCTCCCCGGATGTATGAACGACAAGCCAAAACTCTGTCTTGCCACATACAGGCGCACAGGACGTTGGTAGTTATACAAACTCAAAGATTCACACGCAAAAAAACCTGTACTAAATCTGGCAGGATTCCAACAACACCGACAATTCCCTAAAACACGTACAGCATGTTACTGTGTGGAGGCATTTCATTGGCCAACACTAGACCAGCACTACGTCCTATACCATGGATGGACCCATTCGCTTGCTCCAACCCTGTCAATGTTGCAGCACAACATCGTGCGGCTAATCCGGTGCACATTACCACTTTCTTCTCAAAAGATGATCGGTGAGTAGTGGGGATGCAGATGCATATCGTGGGCCGTAAGTCCTGGGTGTGATGTAGTGATAAACCTGCAGAAGGGGGGGAGAGTGGGTATAGGCCGTGAGTCCATACATGAGACGAACGAGGAAAGGGCGGTAAGGAGAAAAACCGGATTGGGTGTAATGGGCCAAGGATAGCGTGCAAAGAATGGAGGGAATAGGAAGAGAATGGCAACAAGGTATGCAACAGAGTGGCACAGAGGGACAGTGAAGAGAGTTGTGGACAGTATAGGGGTGGGAGGGGCTGAGATGGAAGAGTGAGCAGTAGACAGTGCGAGCAAATGACAGATACAGCAAAGGACTGTGTGAGTAAGGGGATGAGCGTGAGCAAGAGGATAGGGTGAGAGATGGACGGTGTGAGAGAGGGAGAGGTGTGAGAGAGGGAGGGGTGTGAGGGACGGAGGGGTGTGAGAGAGGGACAGCTGGGCTGGAATGCTTGAGTACGTGGAGTGGGGGTGTCTGCCAGGGTGGTTGCCCTTGGGGGAGAGAAAGGCGTTGAAGGAAGGGAAAGAGGAAAGGTAAAGGGGGAAGCGGATGTGCAGGACACAGTGTAATGATTGTTAGTGCTGCCGCCATGCACCGCGAGTTGGCAGAAGAGAAGCGGCCAGATACCGAGCACGGAACTGCCGCAACGGCACCAACTTTGCCTGCTGCTGCGGCTGCCCCGCCTGCCCAGGCCTGAGATGACGTGAGTCCATTCCTGTCACCCCCACGGCCAGGGTGGGCCAAGGGGCGAGCTTTGGTGCGGGCTGGCCTGCTACGTGTGCCGCCACGACGCGTCAACGCTCCAACTGACTCGCCATCTTCCCCTCACCAACACCGGCATTCATGCGCAGCGATGGGCAGAACGATGGGGGCAGAGGGTGGCAGGGAATGGGGAGGTGGTGGTGGAGCGCACGACTGGGGTGGTGCCAACAGGCAGGGCCGGCGAAAGGCAGAGGGGAAACACAGATTGAGGCGCAGTGAGTGTCAGAATGTTATCTTATGCTCTAGCCTGTAGTGGGGTGCTCTATAGCGGGTACAACCCAACTAGGGTTTGCTATATGTATCCCAACTGCTGCTAGTGAAACTCCTCTTTTGCCTAAACTTCTCTTGCCTAGCTAGGGCTTACCTAGCTATGGCTCCTAACTCTGTTCATCATCTCAACATGGAATCAGAGCTGTTACGCTCTTGGCCTGTGGGCCCGCCTACTGCTTCCGCTGCTACTATTCTGTTGGTCGCGCGCACCGGGCGCGCGACACTTTTTCATCCCGCCGCGCGCTCGTGGCGCGCGGCGGTTTTCTGCACGCCATGCGCTCGGGACGCGTGGCGGTTTCCTGTCCGCCGCGCACCCTGGGCACGCGCGGCGGTTTCGCGTTCCGTCGACCCTCGCACCCGTCCCCGTCGACCTGCGCGCGGCTCTCCGTCGCCCTTTGCGGCGGCCCCGTCAACCCGCGCCCGGCTCCTGATCGCCCTTCGCGGCGGCCCCATCGACCCGCGCCCGGCTCCCTGTCGCCCTTCGCGGCGGCCCCATCGACCCGCGCGCGGCTCCCTGTCGCCCTTCACGGCGGCCCCGTCGACCCGCGCGCCGCCCCCGAGGACCCGTGCGCCCGTCCCCGTCGACCCGCGCGTCGCCCTGCGGCCCCCCCTTCCCTCCCACCTGAGTTCACTTTCCGCACACCCGAGTTCGCTTCCCGCATGCTTGTGCACGCTTCGCGCACACCTGAGCGCGCTTACCGCACACTTCGGGTGTGGGGGTGGCGGTTGTGGGGGTGTCGGTTGTGTGCGCCGTCCCCTACTCCTCCTCCTCCTTCGTCTCCCACTGCTGCAGCTGTCGCTGAGGGGGGTGGATGTGTGGGAGCCTGGGGTTTAGGGTTTAAGGGGGGTGCTGTGGGAGTGGAGCTAGGGTTTGAGCAGTGGGTGTGTGAGAGGGGCGTGGGGCAGCTGGGGGAGGTTGTGTGAAGGTAGCTGTCTTGTAGCCTGCAGCGCCTGTAGTCCGTCGCCCTTGCTTCGGTAGCCAGTGAGCCTGTTGCACCAGTCGCCAGTGGGTCCGTTGCTCCTGCCGCTCGTCTATAGCCGCGGAGCCAGTCACTCCAGTAGTCCGTCGCCCTTGCTTCGGTAGCCACTGAGTCAGCCGCTCCTGTGCCCGTGCCTCTGCAGCTTCAGTCGTTGCCTCCCATCTCTCCATCCACAGTTCCTCCTCCTCCTCACTTGCCCGCTGTGATTAACTCTAGCTTTGCTTACTATTGTGAACTCCTGCTCTATGCCTGCTTGCTCATTGTGCTGATTACACCCCACTTTGGCTATGGGGGTGTGTCAGAATGTTATTGTCTAGCCTGTAGTGGGGTGCTCTATAGCGGGTACAACCCAACTAGGGTTTGCTATATGTATCCCAAGTGCTGCTAGTGAAACTCCTCTTTTGCCTAAACTTCTCTTGCCTAGCTAGGGCTTACCTAGCTATGGCTCCTAACTCTGTTCATCATCTCAACAGTCAGCGGCACATAGTAAGGGGGGAAATGGAGGGAAGGTCAAGGGGGAAAGGAGGGAGAAACAAGGGGGAAAACGGAGGGACGGACATGCGGGAGAGGGAGGGTGAGATTAAGGGAAAAACGGAAGGGAGGACACGGAGTAAAGGGAGGGAGGGGGGAGGGGTGGAAAGGAGGGAAGGTCAGCGGGGGAATGCTTACGGAATTGTGGGGTTGAGGAATAGAGAAGCGTGGAGAAGTGGGGAAACAGCGTGGAGGAAAAGGGGGGGCCGCGCGGGGAGAAGTGGGGAAAGCAGCTCGTCCAGAAGGGGAATGTGATCGCGCATGGAAGGGGAAAAGCTGTGCGTTGGAAAAATGGGAAAAGGAGGGCGGAGTGAAGGGGGAAAGCAGATTGTAGGGAAGGGGGGACACCGCATAGGGATGGAGGGTAAAACGGCATAGGGCAAGGGGAAAGGCGTGGAGGGAAGGAAGGTGCGAGAGGGATCCTCTAAAGGGATGGAAGCGACGGGGCGCGAAGGGAGGGACCAGAGTGTGGAGAGCAACAAGAGAGACGATAGTGACTAGAGCGACGAGGAAGGATGAACGGGGAAGGTGAAGCAGAGCGACAGACCAGGGGGGAAAGGGTGGGAGAAAGATGGGGGAAAATGAAAGGGTGGGAGAAACATGGGGGAAAATGGAAGGAAGGACAAGGAGATAGTGAGGGAGGGACTAGGGGCAAAACGGAGGCAGGACAAGGGAGACGGGAAGAGGTGGCGTGCATGAGGTGAGGCGCGTGGTAGGAGGATGGGGTGGAATGGGGTGGTGCAGAGAGGCGGGAAGGTAGGGGGGCCATTGCAGCGGATAACCCTTACCTGCACATCTCGGACCGACCACCCCACCTGGGAGTGCCCACCCCATGGCACAACCCTGAGGAGGCGTGGGAGAGGTCGTGGAAGTGGCACCGCCACCATGCTGCTACTGCTGCTCCACCCACTCCCCATGCCACTGCTTCTACCGCTCCCTCCTGCCACACCACCACCGCCACTACTGCCGAGAAGGGGCCAGCAAAGAGGTCGATCAGCGCCCACCTGGTAGCGGGGTGGTGAGGGAGGAGGGCAGGACGGTGAGAGAGGATGTAGGATGATGATCAAGGAAGTTGAGGCGCACCTGCATGCAGCGAGCAAAGCCCCTACTCCAGCACTGCTCTGCCTCCTGCATCCCCATCCTCCCCCTTCACCTCCTTCACTTCACCTCCATGCCCGCACTCCCCCTCATTCCGCAAGCTTGTTACTCGGGCGCGCGGAGAAGCGTGGCAGTGGCACGAGCGGCTAGTGTGGAAGGGGTCTGGGGTGTGAGGGGGAGGGGAGAGGCCACACCAGAGTGGTAATATTAAATATAGCCTACTCACACACCCAGCACCTCATAAGGGGGTGGAGGGGAGAGGGAGGCGGGTGGGGGGGAAGGGGTAAGTAGTGGAGCAGGGAAGGGGCGGATATTGTGATCAGTGCATGGGGCATGGGGCACGTGGCAAGGTGCATGGTGCATGCATGGTGCATTGGGCATTCCGTTTTGAGCCTGTTGCCCTCAGCATTGGATGGGCCAAGCATGCGGCGAGGTCTTGTGTAGACAGACGGGCTGAGCTGAGAGGGAAAGGAGGAGAGGGGCTGAGAGGGAAAGGAGGAGAGGGGCTGAGAGGGACAGGAGGAGAGGGGCTGAGAGGGAAAGGAGGAGAAGGGCTGAGAGGGAAAGGAGGAGAGGGGCTAAGAGGGAAAGGAGGTGGGAGGCTGAGAGGGAAAGGAGGAGACGGGCTGAGGGGGAAAGGAGGAGAGGGGCGGACGCCCCGTGACAGGCGTGCTATCTCTCCTCCCCGGCACCCCCTGCGTCTTCTCTCCTGCACGCCGACCAAAACTCTGGCTCCTAGAAGGAGGCGGATTGAGGGGCATCTACCGTGCCAACATGCTGCTCGCCCCCGACTTGTAGCGACAACTCGGCGGCTGCCTTGGCAACGGCCGCGAGCACGCTCTTGCTCCCTTCCGTTTTTCCCTTTGTCTCAACCTCCCTTTCCCCCGTGCCCTGGGTTGGCCCCGGCCTGCGAGTGCGAGCGCAAGGGCTTCCGCCGCTGCTGCGCGTGCAGTCCTTGCGTGCATATTAGGTCGTCCGCCAGCATAGTGGCGCAGGCGCAAGCGTGGGAGGCGGAAGACACACTGAAGCGCAACTAGGGACCGATGGTAGAGCCATTGGAGTGAAAGGATGCGGTCCAGGCAGGGGAAGAGAAACAGTGGTGTGAAGACAGACAGGAGTGGCGCGCCCTACAAGGTGAGCGTGGGATGAGGGTGAGCGAGCGACGGAGTGATTCCACAGCGAGAGTTCATGCGCGGCAGGAGTGAGTGAGCACGGGACGAATATGTGAGCACCGGGACGCATTGAGGGACAGGAGGGCGTGAGCGGCGAGAATGAGTGGGAGTGAATGTCACATAGAAGTGTGTGTGCGACTGGACCTGAGGCAAGGCGATTGCCTTGTGTGGGCGGTGGGTTCGTTTGAGCGATATGGGGAGTGCGCGACTGATCGAGTGAGATTTGCGAACGAGGGACGGATGACGAGCGGCGGAGAGGGAAGGGAGGCACGGGAGGGAGGCGCGCTATGGCAGGAGTGGATGCGGGACAGAAGCGGGGCGCGGGAAGGAAGGGACGGAGGGTGCTGGGCGACGGGAGGGACGGGAAGGACGGGGGGAAGGACGGAAGGCACAACCGGGACGGGAGTGACGGGCGCGGTGACAAACATAGACGAGACGAGGGCGATGGGAGGAGCGGGAACGACGAGCGCCAATAGCGAGACGAGACCTATGAGATGGTGGGTACAACGGATTAGATGGTGTATGTAACAACCACGACCTTATAACAACGGGCAACCGTGTATTGAATATAAATCCTCCTTGACAACATTTATAAAATCAAGATAGAAGGCTTCCAAGATTAAATTAATCCCACCAAGGGATAATCTAGCCTTGATAGTGCTCCTATAGCTTGAGAGAAGAAAGAGAGCTCGAAGAATGTTGGTGAAGCTTTAACAAGTAGGTAGGTAGCTTCTTGTAGAACTTATCCTTGAAGAAACCACGACTCTAGTTGTGTAGGAGAGTCTGTTAGGAGAACTTGAAGACTTAGATAAATCCCATTTCCAAACTGGTAAGTTGGAGTTGGGAAGTGAGGAATGAGCTTGCGAGCTCTAAACCCTTCCACAATACCCCTTGGGGGCTCTTCCCGATCATGGTTTCCATGGTTGGGGAGCTCATAGGCTTGGAGCTTAGGTGGCATATTTGTTTGGTTGGAAAAACCCAACTTAATTGTGTTGTATGGTTGATTCAAAGTTTGTGTGGATTGTAACCACAATGGGCAAGTTCTGATTGGTTGGAAACCCAACCATTCAATCTTCACATTTGTTTGTTCGGAAAGTTCCAAGCCTCAAAGTTGAGGGTTGGAATCCCAAGCCAACCTTTCTCTCCCAACCCAACCTTCAACTCCCGTAGTCCTATTTTTGTCGAGACACTTCTCAACTTAGATTAGGAAGAAGTAGTTGTAGTTAGGTGGTGCGTTACACTCCTCCCCCCCTAGGTGGCAACGTCCCCGTTGCCTTAGGGTGCTTCTGAGGACGAGCGCTTTGAGCACGCCGTGTCACATTACGACTAGGGTCAACACCATCCTCTGGCTGTGCGGCACCTCGTCGGGCCAAATCTGCCATGTATGACTGAACTGCAACTTCAGTCAAATGCTCTTCTGGCTCCCATGAGTTGTGTTCAGGCCCATAGCCTTTCCACTTGATGAGGAACTCTCGTACTGTCTTGCGCCCGCGCTGTCAATCACGATGCATCAACTCGTTCGACTTCATAAAACAGTTCCTCCCCTAGGATGATCGTTGGTGGCGGCAAGTACTTGCCCTCTGCAACGTACTTGTTCAGCAGAGACACATGGAAGACATTGTGAATCTGTATAGTGTCAGGTAGCTTAAGCTTGTAGGCTACCACACCAACACGCTTGATCACCTTGAATGGCCCGATCCATCGAGGGTACAACTTTTGTGCTCCAGGGATTTTGAGACGAATGTTCTTCGTGCTCAACATAACTTTGTCTCCGACCTCAAAAGAGACTTCCCGGCGTTTCATGTCGGCGTAAGAATTTTGTCGCTGCTGAGAGAGTTGCAGCCAATGGCGAGCAGACTTAAGCGCTTCTTACTACTTGCTAACAAAGTCTTTAGCGGCTGGACTTTTCAATCCACCGATCTCATGCGTATCAGGTGTTGTGGGATGCCGACCACAGTTCAGAATGAAAGGTTTCTCACGTGTACCTTCATGAACTGAATTGGTCACTGCGAATTCAACAACAGGCAAGAACTCGGCCCAATCATCCTAAGTTGGGCCAGTGAATAAACGAAGCATCTGCGCAAGTGTCCGATTTGTTCATTCTGTCTGCCCATCAGTTTGTGGGTTGAACGCTGATGACATCTTAAGCTTCGTCCCTAGTGTCCGGGCGGCTTCTTGCCAGAACCGGCTTGTGAAGCGCGGATCCCGGTCGGACACCAATGCACGTGGTAACCCGTGTAAGCGGAAAACGTGCGCCACAAACAATTCGGCCGTATCTTCCGCAGATACGTCAGTTGTCGTAGCCATGAAATGCACCATTTTTGTCAGACGATCCACAAACACTAGGATCGCTGTATGGCCATTGCGACTCTTGGGAAGATCTGTGATAAAATCCAAGGATACTCTCTCCCAAGGTTCATTCGGGATCTCGAGTGGTTGAAGCAAACCACCAGGCTTCTTTGTGTCCATTTTATGTCGTGCGTATGCGTCGTAGTGCACCACGAATTGCTGGACCTCACTGCCCAATCCCGGCCACCAGTACACATCACTCAAGGCCCACCTAGTCTTCTTGACCCCTAGGTGTCCTCCATACTTAGTGGCATGCACTTCTTCCAGAATGTCATTCCGCAAGTTACCCACATGAGGTACAACAATCTCCTTCTTACGCCACCAGAGCGCATGCTCCCACTTGAGTTCCTTTGTGTTTCGTAAGTTCTGAAACCATGAGTCAATTTGATACTCTGTGCGGATGCGTTTCAGAAATCCACTAAAGGTAATCTCACTCACTCGAGCTGTTGCTAGGACACTGTAGCAAGCAAAAAATGCTGCCGCATCCTCTGTGTTGACTAGCCGTGTTGCTGCCCCTATCGGCTATCTGCTGAGGGGGTTAGCCATGTTCGTCAAACCTGCTCGATATTGAATATCGAAAGTGAACCCACTAAGGAGTTCTGCCCATCGGGCTTGACGTTGAGTAAGCGTGGCTTGAGTGGAGAAGTAGATGTTTGGAGAGTGGTCGGTCGTAACCACAAAATCCACACCCTCCAGATAACGCCGTGTGAGTAACGCATGAACAGCCGCCAACAAATCCTGTTCGGACGTCGTATAGCGCTGCTCTGCCGGGGAGAGCTTTCGACTCTCAGATGCCACTGGTCTCTTCTCTTGCAAGAGGACAGCCCCAATCCCTATCAATGAGGCGTCATTAACAACCTCATAGGGTTTCGTCGGATCTGGTAAAACCAGTACCGGAGCGTTGGTCAGCATTTGCTTGACCTCGTCGAATGCCTTTTGGCGTTGCTGTCTCCATTGCCGAGCGCTACTCTTGCGAGTGAGGGCCGTCAATGGACCAACAACAGTAGAATAATTCTGCAAGAATCGACGAAAACAGTTTGCCAGTCTGAGAAACGACCTGATTTGACCCACATCTTCTGGCACCGGCCAGTTCAGGACCGCGACAACTTTCTTTCGGTCTACTTTGAGACCATCATTTCCCACAAGATGGCCAAGATATTCCAACTTGTGTTTGTAGAATTGACATTTCCACGAACGAGCATAGAACGTATGCTCGCGTAGCTTCCCCAACACCCACTTAAGGTGTCGCGTGTGCTCCTCTTCCATCTTGAAATAAACCAAGATGTCATCCAGATAGACCAAAACGAACTATCCAATCGCCTCGCAAAAGACATCACTCATAACTCTCTGAAAAGAGGCAGGAGCATTGGTCAGGCCAAAGCTCAGCACACGCCACTAAAAATAACCAAACGGCGATCAGAAAGCCGTCTTGGGTACATCTTCTTCAGTGATGCGCAATCGGTGATACAAGTGCGCGAGGTCCAACGCGCTGAACCACTGGGCACCCTGCAGTTTGTCGAACAGGTCCTCTATTCTCGGTAGGGGATACCTGTTCTTCACCGTTATCTTGTTCAGAGCACGGTAGTCTACGCACATGCGTAACCCTCCGCCCTTTTTGTTCACGAACAAGATCGGCGCTCCGTTAGGTGATGCGCTTGGTTCAATCCGTCATTTCCAGAGATATTCCTCAATCTATTCTTTAGCCTCTACGTACTCAGCTGGACTGAGGTGATACAAAGGTCTAAAAGGTGGGAGTTTTCCAGGTTCCACGGGGATGGTATGACCGACTGCACGGTCCGAAGAAAGGCCATCTGGGATGGGCTAAAAAGCCCCTGCAAATTTGTCTGCCAGCGCTTTCATCTGAGGTGGAAAGTCCTCGACCTCAGGCAGTTCGTGTTCAGCATTCTCAAGCTATACCACAAAGAATATATAAGCTTGTCGAACATGCTGTCCAAACTTATTTGCAAGCGCAAAACTTACGTCGGGGCGTTCCAACGTGGGTTGGTCATTCGTGATCAAGTTCTTAGGCACTTGCCACTGGACAGTGTCACCATTATTTGATAATGACACCGTATTGTCCTGGAAATCGAGCTTGACATCATTCACTCGAAGCCAATCCATTCCAAGGACAAGGTCGACGCCTACGAGAAGGGGTAAAACATACGCGCAGATCTCTTCGTGATAACCCTCAATCTCCATGTTGATCCGCGTCCGCTCTTTGCTTGGAATGATGCTATCATCACCAAGGCGAATGGGGCAAGACGGTCATGCTGTGGCCCACTTTTTGTCAAAGAGAGAAACAGTTGCCCCTGTGTCAACAAGGATTTTTGCGTTTTCCTCGTTCACGCTACCCGCAAGCAACAAATCTTGTTGATGCTTTGGGCGAATAGGACATGCCCCAATATTCGTTGAAGGTTTGAAATACACCTTGATGTTGTGACAAGCACGACTATGTGACTGAGAGTTGGTCCACCATATATGGTGTCTCTTGTCCCACGCCGCTAGGACCGGCCATCCACGAAGCATATGGAACAATTCGCCCTTCACTGTGCAAGTCACCAACGTGATCGAAGTCAGGGGGTGCTCTTGAGTGCAACGACTCACAATTTCAATGACAGAAGGCAGAATGTCCAAGCCTATTTAAAAAACCTATCATGTATTGCTTCCATGGAAGTTTTCTCAAGTGGGTACGATCATGGATAAAAACAGAGTTTGTATTAAAAGAAGAGGCAAACAAACAAGAGACTTTGCAATCCGCAAGCTTCTCTAGCTTTAATATATTATCATTACATAGCACATATGCCTCATCCACTCGATCTACTCCTCCAACTAGGTACCCACACCCTAGTTGGGCTTATGAAAATCCTTCTTTCCGGAAGGTTCAGCGCCGCCTGGCTTAGGCTTCCCAGAATACTTGATTGCGTTCTTATCACGGCATTGCTTTTCGATGTGCCCCATCCTTCCACAGCCTCTACACTGCTTTCGAAGAAGTCTGGGGTGTTAGGGCCACGCCCTCCCCCTCCGCTAGCCTTCTTGGCTTGCGGCTGCGACTGGTGTCCACGCTGCTGGAAAGGCCATT